TCAAGACAAGGAAAACTTATCCTACCAGCTACCATGTCGGATGCCGAGCAGCGGCAACAACCCAAGCTATAAATCCGGACAGGAAAAAAAAGCAGGCGATCCAGCAGAGCTCGCTAAATTTCATCTTCACTCGAGGCGGAGAGAAATTAAGAGTGATGGACGGCTACCTGTGGCATTGCCAGGTGGCCTCGGTCACGTGGGTTCGTGACGTAAGGGGTAAAAGAATCTTGAGGTCATGGGGCTTCCCCTGACCTGGATTCTATCTCTCCGTCACCGGCAGAATCGCTGATTAATGCCTACAGTTCAAAATAGTCATTTTGACTGACTGGAGTCTATGGTGGGTAATTGAACGTAGTGAATTACCCCAAATAAAAGAAAATGTAAATGAGTGCAGATATATTTTGGAGCAAATGCAGATATTGCTTTTTATGGAATGGTAGATTATATTGTTTTCGGTTTAAGAAATGTATAATTATACTTGAGACATACAAATGTAAAATGGTGCCATGCTGTTAATTTTAGACCAAGTTAACAGAAGAAGAACAATTTTTCAGCGCTATATAGCATTTATCTAAGAAATCACTAAATACAGGAAATCTCAGGCATCAAAAATATTGAAAATATTTAAAAAATGCTAAATACAATATGTACATGTATGATAATAGCCATATTGAATCTAGTTTGGTTTCAACTTAAATATTTTTGAATTTCCAGGCCCTCCTGATGAAATCTACAACTAAACATTGATGTCAAAGAAATGTATTTGTAAGCAGGTAATTTATTTTTTCATACTGCAACAATTTTTTATTTATTTATTTACTTGCATTTTATTTATAATTTAAGCTTTTTAAAAGTTAACAAAGTGTGTTGATTATACTATCATAGGTAGCTGATCACTGACTGTTATTGCTGTCGCATTTTCATAATCACAGCACATTCACATACATAATGTTACAGAATTCTTGTGTTAGTGGTCATTACTACTCACCAAAATACTGAGTTAGTTGTTGTGGTGGAGGAAGAGGAGGACGACTCTCTATTTCCAATGTTGCTTTTTCAGTTATAACATCGCCGTAGCCATTCCTGATATGACACTGATACCATCCTCTATGTTGATATTTGACTTTATTTATACACAGCTCAGATTTAATAGCCCCTGGAAAAAAAGATTATATCCCTGACTATATGTATATTGAATATATTTACTGCTTTTTTGGAATTGATAAAATTCATTTTTCTCAGAACGCCCTAAATTTAGCCACATATGTTTTACTCATGAATACCTCTTATTAGAGACTTTGCATCATACCACTGATAAGATATGGGTTCAATGCCTGTGACTTCACAATGAAATGAAACATCATGACCAAGAGGGCACCGCACTGAATCTGGTTGTCTTCTTATCACAGGAGGTCCAGCTTGAACTATAAAAACAAAACAAAATTACTATTTTGATAAAAAATAAATAATCATCAATTACAACATGGCTAGTGCCTTTGCAGTTGTTTGTCATTAATTGAAACATGGTAGACATTCACCAACCACAGCTTGGTAAACATTCACCAACCACAGCTTGGTAGACATTCACCTACCACAGCTTGGTAGACATTCACCAACCACAGCTTGGTAGACATTCACCAACCACAGCTTGGTAGACATTCACCAACCACAGCTTGGTAGACATTCACCAACCACAGCTTAGTAGACATTCACCAACCACAGCTTAGTAGACATTCACCAACCACAGATTGGTAGACATTCACCAACCACTGCTTGGTAGACATTCACCTACCACAGCTTGGTAGACATTCACCTACCACAGCTTAGTAGACATTCACCTACCACAGCTTGGTAGACAATCACCAACCACAACCCAGTAGACATTAACCAACCACAGCTTGGTGGACATTCACCTACAACAGCTTGGTAGACATTCACTAACCACATCTTGGTAGACATTCACCTACCACAGCTTGGTAGACATTCACTAACCACATCTTGGTAGACATTCACCAACCACAGCTTGGTAGACATTCACCAACCACAGCTTGGTAGTAATTCATCAACCACAGCTTGGTAGACATTCACCAACCACAGCTTGGTAGTAATTCATCAACCACAGCTTGGTAGACATTCACCAACCACAGCTTGGTAGACATTCACCAAGCACAGCTTGGTAGACAATCATCAACCACAACCTGGTAGACATTCACCAACCACAGCTTGGTAGACATTCACCTACAACAGCATGGTAGACATTCGCCTACAACAGCATGGTAGACATTCACCAACCACAGCTTGGTAGAAATTCAACAACCACAGCTTGGTAGACATTACCCAACCACAGATTGGTAGACATTCACCAACCACAGCTTGGTAGTAATTCATCAACCACAGCTTGGTAGACATTCACCAATCACAGCTTGGTAGACATTCACCAACCACAGCTTGGTAGACATTCACCAACCACAACCAGGTAGACATTCACCAACCACAGCTTGGTAGACATTCACCAACCACACCTTGGTAGACATTCACCAAGCACAGCTTGGTAGACAATCACCAACCACAACCTGGTAGACATTCACCAACCACAGCTTGGTAGACATTCACCTACCAATCACAGCTTGGTAGACATTCAAAAACCACAGCTTGGTAGACATTACCCAACCACAGATTGGTAGACATTCACCAACCAATCACAGCTTGGTAGACATTACCCAACCACAGATTGGTAGACATTCACCAACCAATCACAGCTTGGTAGACATTCACCTACAACAGCTTGATAGACGTTCCCCAACCACAGCTTGGTAGACATTCACCTACAACAACTTGGTGGACATTTCCTAAATGCAGCTATGTAGATAGTCATGAACCATTGAAACTTTATACCAGGTACATGTATTACTGCAGCACAGTAGTCAGCAACTGACTGTGGCCTTAAAACATTTGCATTCACAGAAATTTAACAACAACAACCTGAGCAAAAAAACATTTTACTAAAAAAATCACATACTAATTATTATTAGACATCTGTCACCGTAACGCCCTAAGTTACAGCATGTCGTAATTTTGCGGTATTTTACGGGGTATTTTCAACCTATCATATAAGGAAATGCAAATTCCAAATATAGAATGATTACGAGCGTTAGCGTTCGCTAATAATAAAAACAAACACAAAGAAATTCGCTGATTCTGTTCTAAACTTTTTGGATTTCGGCATTCCCATGATGTATCCTTGGAACGAAAAGATGAATAATAATAAGGTTATTAAGAGAATACCTCAAATATATGCACTCAGACAGTACGCCGTCGCATCAACCTTCGCTGCGTGTCGGTCGATACTCCAGCTGTACTGTCTTCATGCATATGAGGTATTCTCGTAATAACCTCATCATATTATCAATGATACTTACTGATAGTGATTTGCACTGTATCTGACCAGACCTCGCCACTGTTATTGTAAACTTTACATCGGTATTTAGCAGCATCCTGACTGGCTGAAACATCATACTAATAAGAGAATAAAAATTACTAAACTCCCATCACAAATCAATGCATATTTTATACCATTTTGTGCAAATACAGAATAATATGGTCAGCAGTCTTGCCACATTTGTCGACAGGACTGGTATTCGAATTCAGGGACCACCATTGTGGTGTACTGTATACATCATACAGGTTTCATGAACTGTAAGATAATTTTGGTGAGAGTATGTTAAAAAGCGGTAGTCGTCTTGCTGCGCATGTTCGACATTTGTGTTGATAAACATTGATTTTCCCACAATCCAATGTGCTCTTCAAATGGAAATCATAAGTGTGAGGTTTGATGCGACTTGCACTAATTACCGCTGGTGACTCCTTTGATACCTTCCAATCACATGAAAATTACCTAATTACAGCTTGGAAACGTGTCAGTTCGTACTCGTTGATCTGCGCAACAGTCAAAGTCGCCATCTTTGTTTATATGAGACCCATATATCGACGACTACCGCGCTTTAACATTTTCAACACTTTCTGACCCAAATTTTTCTGTACTTGTCTTTTATATTCTTCAATATTCCGAAAAGGAACTCTAATTCAGGAGCTAACAGACAAATTTGCATCAATTTTCAGTTTTTACTCAAATTTGGCTATTTTTGTCCCAATCTTCTGATGGAAAGTGCTGACTATAAATGGGACCATTTTTTATGCTACACATGTCAGCAGCTAAATGGAAAACAAATTTGCATAATATTCTACTTACATATATCTCAGAAGAAGTCTGTTCTACCATATGTTGTTCATTTCTGAACCATTGGTACTTAGGAGCTGGGCGTCCAATTGCCTCACACGTCAGTTTCAAAGGTCGTCCAATTTCAATACATTGTGATCGTGGTTGCTCTATGATCACTGGGGGATCTACAAAAATGAAGTAACCAAGATTCTCAGCAACACATTATATATATATTTAGGTAGTTACACAAGTGTTCCGGACTTCATCCAACAGTTATTCAAAATCCCTGCCATTTTATTGTTGTAAACTGCATTTGGTGGTTTTACCAGAAGAAAATCACAGATTTCAGTAGTAGCTCACAAATGAATAAATCATTATACTTGAAGAAGCAGACAATCAATGTCCTCATTCTAAAACAAGCATTGCATGGCATATACTGAACCTAAATACAAGATAACTGAACTATGTGACCGCTGCTTTCTAGGGGACACTGACAGGCAAAATTGAATACTACATGTCGGTACCAAAACATAAGTCTGGAATGAGTTGCTGTACATGACACTGAAATATGACACAGGGTCAAGTGATTGACTGACCAAGAAAAACATCAGGTCATTGAATATGCCTAATGTATGGCACTGGTGAACCCAAAGTTAACTTTTCAAAATGGAGGCCATACTCCTTGAAGGTCAATTAATCTTGTGCAATTTTGTACAGAGCAGACTTTGATATCCTTACAAAATTGTCTTATTTCAATATTGAAACCATTATTATTTGCAATGGATCATTTTATTTGATGGCAATTTTAGTATTAAATACTTGTTACTTCATAATTTCTCATTTTTTCTCTCCTTTAACTTTTACCGAAACAACATCATACCACCATAAATTCATGGGTATTGATAATGCTATTATAATATAATAAGTAATACTAACAACTATAGGGCTTTTATGGCAAACTTCATTTGAAACACGTCAATGAAAATGACACTGTCGCATACGACTTGTTTACCACTTCCGTGTGACTGAGAATGTTCTAGAACCGTACTGTGTCTGGGTGGAATTTTTAGAAGTTGGTTGAATAGGTAATAGGACACTGTAGAAGGCAATAGAAGGTAATGGAACATTCTAGAAATTTGTAGTATGTTCCAGACTCATTATGTATGCTGATGTAATGGTCTATTTATAGACAGTATGGGTATATATAGGGGAGTTGTTCAGCACTGAGATTAGATCGGAGATCTCGTTGAATTGTATTGGAGTTTAAGTATCTAGTTATTGGAGTAGTGGAGTTTTACCGCGTTATTGTACTTGATGTTTGCAGAGTATAATAATACCAGTACCAGTTGAAACCTCATCTGTTGGCTCCGTGTTCGTATTTTATCATCGCCGCCAGGGAAGTCTTTTTGTTACTGTTGCCATTTTGGTATTTGAACCATCACACCCGTACTATACCAATTACGGTAATATTACGTTGTGTGTGACAGACACAGTCCTCGTTAAATTTCTGAAAGTTCTCTTTGTGCTCGCCATATTAAAGTCGAGGGGTTGTCGCAGTGGAGGGGTTGTCCTTGAAACTTGAGTCTCAAGTGGCATATACAACAGATTCATGTACATCAAATTCGAACACATGTTGCATGACGACCCCTCCGGTTTAAGACATAGCAAAAAAAAACATAGATCACAAGTGAAAGCATGTCCGAATTATCACATTTTAAACAAACAAGATGGCCGCCAGTCGGCCAAATTTGATCAAATTGAAAATTGAATTGACATGTACATGTATCCATTTATGACATGCTAAATATCAATGAAAATGATACATGGGTGACAGAGATAGTAATATGGCCACAAATAAAAACAGCCGTTATATGGCCATCTTTGATCTGATTATGAAACAAAGTGACATGTATGATGTAAGTGCCAAATACGAATGAAAATGATACATAAATCTTGGAAATAAAGTAGTAAGGCCAAAAAGTCAGATGGCTGCCAGTCGGCCATCTATGATCCAATTGCGAAAGAAATTGTCATGGACATGTATCTTAACATGTATGATCTATGTACCAAATGATGTCCAAAATACAACATTTTCAAAAAACAAGATGGCTGCCAGTCAGCTATTTTGAATCGAATCGCTAAACCACTGCATGTGCGCATATGTCCCACATAAAGTACTAGGCACATGCAAAGAATGAACAGAATCGGTCCAAAGGATTCTGAAATATGACTCCGTACGGACACACGGACAGACGCACGGACGGAGACTGAATTATAAGTCCCCGTTTTCGGACTTCGTCAGAACGGGGACTAACAAGGGACAAAAGATAAATTTGTGTGTTTTTTTGTTAGTGAGAACTACCTAATTGCATTAACAGTTAGAAGACATACCTCAATATACATATTATAGATGGGTTGTGGCAGTAGGTTTTATGTCAGAAACCCTTGTACTCGGGCCCTTCTGGGTATTACGTCTTCTACTCAAAAAAAGGTGTTGGCCCCTGGCCTAACCTTTCATCTCAGGAGGCACTTTATATTGCAGGACAGCCCAAATATGAGAGTTAATGTATCCAATACAATTATAACCTTGACCTTGTTCACCTGATACCAGGTATAGTTTTGGGAGTAAAACATTTGAAGATTTTCGAATATGATGAGAATAATTTAAAAAATAAGACCATTTTAAGCGTCATCCTCAGCTATATTGTGCAAAACAACCGAAAATCGATATCGGTCAAGATTCAAAATACTTGAATTGAAATTATTTGAGTTACTGTGGAATACCTTATTTTCGCTGGAATTAATTTTTGCTGAAAAAGCTTTTTGAGCGTTTTGTATGGAATTTATTTTCACTGATTTTTGATGAGTTTAATGTGAAATATAGGAAAAGAAGTATATTCGTTGGATTTTATTTTCACTGAATCATCCCTTCAGCGAAAATAGCGAAAATAAATTCCAAGTGAAAATAAAGTATTCTACAGTATTTCAACAACAATGGGACAATAACAACAACAATGACATTGACTTGTATACATTTTTTTTAAATCTATGATTGCAGCCAAAATAAAGTTATCTTACCTGTAGTAAGAATATATACTCACCAGTTTTAGCGATTACCTTGACGTGTACCCAGTTTGTGAACTGGTAACTAATCCTATTATGTATTCGGCATATGTACATTCCATTGTAATCTGTTGTGATTTGTTCAATTCTCAAAACCCGGTCACAACCATTCTCAACCTCAATACTTTGCCGGATGCGGTTGCCGTTGATTTCTTTATCCACTGTACGAAACCATACATACTTAGGATATGGGAAACCCATCGCATTACACGATAGTTCTAATGTACCACCATTTTGAATATTGACAGCCTGTGGCTGTGAAATGATGCTAATTGGCTCTAAAAAAACAGAAATATATCATTTAAATGAAAATATACTGAGATCAAATAAGGGCCATGGTGAGGAAAGTACTTTGTAGGTAATCAAAATGAAATTTGCCTTTGGCGACTGGTGAATAGTTTTCAGAGGGGAGGAGGGGTTTCCAAATATAGCATACATTGTACAATATTCCTGACATGTATAAAACCGTTTCCAATGGTATATTCATTTTTTTCCCATAAATATTGAGTTAGATGTGGCCGAATACTGAATCTCTGATGATCGAAATGTGATATTTTATTTACAATCAGAGGAATTAAGAATTACAGTTATTTATACTGGTAATACTGCAGAATAATAATAATAATAATAATAATAATAATAATAATAATAATAATAATAATAATAATAATTTGCAAAATTAATCTGAGTGGTATTCCTACCATACCTTGCCGTGAAAGTTTGAAAAGTTGCTACAATATGCTAGAAAAATGGATAACTGAATCACACACACACACACAAATTGTTTGGCAGAAAGGAGGTACTCTAATACAAAACTAGGCCTGAACATAGGCCTCAAAGTACCCCAGACTACAACAGGAAAGTAAGTAATTACTGAAACTGACTAAATTCACAAATCTGTTAAAAGTGTTACAATTCAGAAAAAAGGTGTGGGAAAATAAAAATACAAAGAAATGGGGAAGTGGTGGGAGGGTGAAAAATACAAGACAGCCTGGAAAACAAAATACTGAAGCAGACTGAGAATCTGCTGCCACTAGGTGGCGCTATATACTGGTGGCTACGCTACAACAGAGATAAACTGAACAGGCAAATCTATATATGTGAAGCAATTAATCAAATTTATACTAAAAACAAATTTAACACAATTATTCAAAATTATTGTTACAAAACTGTCATATGAGCACAATATAATGTATAATGTTAAGAAATAGTGTACGATTTAGTGATGAAAAAATTGGTAGGTTTGATTGCAAATGTTTCCCAAGTGTTTATCATAACGAACATTTATTTCTCACTTTCAAAGTATAGACAAAATAAACACGCACACACATGCACATACCTACACATGCATGCATGCATGCATACACACAGTCAATACATAATTTAAGTCATTGTGAGTTTAATTGTCATAACTCACCTTCTTTTTTCAGTAGCATCAATGCCGGTTCATGTTTTAAAACTTCTAAATAACTTATAAGTTGTTTAACCGTTCGCCCTTTATTACCAAGATCTCTCAGCAATGACGCTGTTGGGCTGCTGCCAAATCGCAAAATATCTAATCCAAACATGTCAATTTCTTGAGCACTGCAAAAAGATGAACAAACACATTTATTGCTTGTCTAGCATAAGAAACGTTCATTATTGAAATTGATTTTACATACGCTAGATGCAACCTTCATGTGGTCATGTGACTGCTATTCAATCCATTATGTAGGATTCAAATGTGGGGAAATAAAATTGAATTCTACAATCTTCTTTTGAAAAATGTAGAATAAAATATGAGAATTAAAAAGAAAAGTGAGAAGGATTTTTTGTCTATTCTTGTGTTTTTACTAGACTATTTTGTTCGTTTTTACATTTAGCTAGTCAAACCTTCAGAATGCACAAATTTAACAAAAATTGTGCAACTGTTATGTTTATATATATTATAATCTCTGAAAAAAGTAAAGAAATCTGATGAGATGTCTTCTAAGTAGTATTCATTTGAATGATCATTTGAATGTCAGAATTAGTACAAAGATATGACTAATGTATTATTTAAATATTAATGAAATATTCTGTGACCAAAATTCAGTAAAATGTAGATTACTTGTATCTGGATGTTCTGAAAATATTTGATACTTAATAACTGTGTGATTTATTAATTATTTAAAATACATACAAATATCAACATAACAACAAAGCGAGCTGTTAATTGTGACCCCTGTTTAAATATATTTCAATTAATTTATTTGTAACTATAATTAGATATAATTAGATTCTATAAAGTATAAAAAGTCTGTTTAAACATGAGGCAACAAAATCTACTACACCCTTAATGGAAAGTGCTTTACATTGAATATTATATCTGTAATTATTGATCTTCAATCAGAGAATTCTGTGTGGGATTTGGTGACTTGATGACACCCTAAGATACTGAAAACTCTATCACAACCAAAGCTCCTTAAC